ACCCTGTGGTGTGCCACCCGGACCTGGGGGAGCTGCTCCAGGCCTGGCCCGCAGAGCTGCCCGACGAGTTCTTCGAGGTCACCGTGGACGACGTGCGGAGACGCTTGGCCCAGCTCAAGAGTGAGCGGTGGGTGTGCCCCGCCCCCTCGGTCTCCCGCTTCCCACCGCTGGTCCCAGCTCCATGCGTGGCCGCACCTGGAGGGGGCCTGTCTGTCCAGCTCGGGTGGGCCTCCTCTCTGGCCGGAGACCGGGACCTTCACCCGCCCCCTTCCTTCCACAGGAAGCGCCTGGAAGAGGCCCCCTTAGTGACCAAGGCCTTCAGGGAGGCTCAGATGAAGGAGAAGCTGGAGCGGTACCCTAAGGTACGGGCGGCTCCGAGCCGGCTCCTCCTGCGGCCGCGTGCACAGGCCGCTGAGCGTGTTCCCGGAGCTTGCACAGCCTCGGCCTGGCTTTGTGATGAAAACAGAAGTCTGTGTGCACGGTGCTGGGGCAGCACCGCCTGCTCTGGCCCCAGGTGGGGTCCTCCCTGCTGGGCAGGGCTCCGGCTGTCCTGACAGCACGCTTGTCCGACCCAGGTGGTCCTGAGGGTGCTGTTCCCTGACCGCTACATCCTGCAGGGCTTCTTCCGCCCCAGCGAGACAGGTAGGGCCACGCCAGCGTCCAGGACGGCTCCCTCCAGGCCTGGGCCTGTGGCTGCCGGGCCCTGGGCTCGGGGAGGCGTGGGCTTGGGGGCTGCAGGCAGCGGCTCTGAGTTTGCAGAGCATGTTGGGTGATTGTGGGCTGGCATGTGGGCCTGGGGCAGCTCCTGGAGGGAAAGCTCTACCCGGCGAGGGCAGCGAGAGGTGAAGGGAGGCCGTTTGCAGGGTGGGGATGGGGTCCTGCCCCGGGGGGTGGCCCTGCCCCGGGGGGTGGCACCTGGGCAAGGTGCGAGTGTCTGGTCTTGTGGAAGGAACAAGGTGGACTTCCCAGCCCCGGGCTCGGATCGGTGTCCTGAGTGCCAAGGCCCAGGAGGTGGCTGCCCAGGGTGGGGGGCAGCTTGGTGCGGCCGGCCTGTCCAATCCCACTGGGGCCAGCATCGGGGTGCGTCTGCTGGCGCCCCGCTCACCCTCCCCTTCCTCCTCAGTGGGGGACCTGCGGGACTTTGTGAGGAGCCACCTGGGGAACCCCGCGCTGCCCTTCCACCTGTGTGAGTACTGCTCCAGGCCTGCCTGCGCCTCCCCATAGGGACATGGTCCTCTGCTTCCAGCAGCCGGAGCTGTGTGGATGGGGCGCTGAGGGCTGGGGTGCTGGCAGGGGCTGCCCCGGGTCACTCCCCCGACCCAAGCCCCTCACCAGGGTTTTTGCTGCAGCAGAGGAGTGGGCAGAGGGCTGTGGACTGAGGGTTCTTCTAGAATAGCCCCAGCTGAGGCTGCCAGCCCTTGACCAGTCGTCCCTGGGAACGGGCGCTGGTGAGGGGGTGGGGCGAGGCCTTCCTCACGGAGACTTTCTCTCCCCAGTCATCACTCCTCCAAAGACCATCCTGGAGGACCACACGCTGACCCTCTTTCAGGTACTGGCCCCTGGCCTGGGCGGGGGTGGACTCTGGGGCCGCTCTGCAGGCCCGGGCAGGGGTGGGGGTGCAGAGCCTCTAAAGTTGGCCTTGTGCTTGCTTCCTGCCTCCTCCGATGCTGCCCCAGGGGACGGGCCCTTTGGCTGCGGAGCTCCCTGCCCTGGGCCTGGGTGGACAGGGTCCACAGGCAGCGCAGCTGGGGCAGGTCCTGAGGTCAGGGGTCAGAGCCCCCCCTGCAAGTGGCCTGCTGCTTTGGAGGCCCCTGCTGCCTGCTCCCTGCCCGCCTTCTCAGCCAGGCCCTCCCGCTGGCTGCCCCTGCAGCCCCCCTGCGGCCGCTCCTGGAGGGTGAGGAGTGTTGACCCAGCGCCTGCTGGGCCGCCTCCAGAGCAGGAGGAATGTCCTGTCCTCAAGGGGAGGGCAGCCTGGGGCCTCCCCGGCTGGGACTAATGGTTTCCTCTTCAAAGCCGCCTCAGATATTTTAATTACTAACAGAGGCCAGCCCTTGTTAAGTGGCCCGCAGGCCTGCGAGGTCTGAGCTGGGGCTGCAGGTCCTGGGGAGATGGGACAAGATCAGGCAGAGCTGGCCACTCACCAGGAACGGAGTCGGGATGGGGGGAGCCGTGCCCGCCCCCCTCAGCCCGGGAGCCCGAAGGTGTTGGGTGCTCTCTGCACCCCGCCTGCCCCGCTCCCGGCAGCCTGTTGATGCACTGGGTTGGGAAGGTGCTTTGGGAGGGGACCAAACCCCCCATTAGGAGCCCTGGGTGCCGTCCCGCCCACTCGGCCTCATTTTGGTGACACTCTGCCCCCAGCTACCAGCAGCCGCCTCCTTTCATCCGTCAGCTCGGGCCCTGGCGCGTGGGGCCTTCCCGGGGTGCGGCCCTGCCCGAGATCAGAGCTGGCAGGGCTTGGGGAAGGAAGCCTCCCGCCTCCCGCCTCCCGGGGGGAGCAGCGCGGAAGCCGCGGCTTTCATGTCGCTGGCAGGGCCGCAAGCTGGCTGCTGCTGCCTGGAGGCTGCCTGGGGCCTGCCCATGTTCCTGGGGTAACAGTCAGCGTGGGTGTGGGGGCGGCGGCCCAGCTGCCCTCTTGGCTGCTGGGCCGGGAGTGTCTGCGAGCGGCCGAGGGCCATGGGGGGTTGCCGTCAGTGGACACAAAGGCCCCCAGCACCCCACAGCAAACCTGCTTCCTGGGCCGGAGCCCCGCCCACCACCTGCCCAGGACCAGGCCTCACCTCAGTGGGTGCTGGGCGCCTGCCTCCTGGGGGACCCTCCGCGTGGCAGCAGGCAGGCCTCCCGGTGGGTGTCCTGTGGTCGGCAGTCACCAGTCGGTTGGGATCCCAGAGATGCGGACCGGCGGGGCGGGGCTTTGGACAGGTGCGAGGGGAGGGTCCTTCAGTGGCCCCAGGTGGCCCCGCCCAGGCCCGTGAAAGGAAGGTGCTGCCTCGTGGGGTGCCGAGGGGAGGCCCAGCACCTGGTGGTCCCCGAGTCGGGGTCTGGCCTTGCAGGCAGGGTGGGTACTGTCCTGCCTACACCCCCTCCCTGCTCCTCGGCCACCTCCAGCCTCAGGCCCCAGGGTTGCCCCCCATGTACGGACGAGCTCTGACCGGCGTCGTGGCCCTTGTCCGTCGCCCGGCGTGGGCTGTCTCGGCGTTCCCAGGCCTGGCCTTTGAGGCTTCTCTCTCGTCCCTGAATCATTTTCACAGTTTGTTTTTTTTGAGATTTAAATAAGATACAAATGGTCTCCTTATAACAACCTTTTAGGTCAGGGTGGTCGTCATCTGTAATTTATAGAACCCCCGCCTGGGGCTCCAGGGCAGCCCCGCCCAGGCCATGGCCCCCCTCCCCGTGGCCTGAGGGTGCTGCCGTCTGCAGGTCTCTATCTGGAGCCCAAGCTGCTGGAACACACGGTCTCCCCATCTGCAGCCGACGTGCTGGTGACCAGGTGAGAGCCCAAGGTGCTGGCAGTGCCAGGGTGGGAGGGCATCGCTGCAGCGCTCGCTACCTGTGCCTTCTACCGCAGGTGCATGTCCAGGACCTCCGTGACCCCGTTCCTGCTGCCAGCCCCTGACCCTGTGCCCCTCGAGTCGGAGGCAGCTGCTGAGGAGGGTGCAGTGGGGCCCCCTGAGCCCAGCCCTGGGACAGCCCAACCCCTAAGGAGGGACCTGGGCAAGGTGCCCAAATGGCTAAAGCTGCCAGGTACTGGGAGGGCGGCCGGGCCGGGCCGGGAGGGCAGCTGGGCGGGAGCCGGGCCCCAGGTCACGCGTGTTGCATTGCAGCCAGCAGGAGGTGAGAGCCGCCAGCCGGAGGTGAGAGCCGCCAGCAGGAGGTGAGAGCTGCCAGCAGGAGGTGCCCACTTGGCCGGGGACGGGACCCTCCTCCTCACCCTGCGTGCGAATAAAGCCTGAGCACCTCCTGAGACCCTCCTGTTCCTTCTCCAGAAAGGGCGCCGTGGTCCTTGCCCGGCCGCCGTCTGACGCTGCCGCCTGTCCAGGCTTCCGGGCACTGGCCTCCAGCTCTGGGACTGGCCAGTCCCCAGCCTGGCTGGACCTCGGTGTGTGGTCCCCTTGCTGGGCCTGTTCTCATTACGCAGCTGCTCCTAGCGGCTTTGCCTCATTGCCGTCATCCATCCCCTCCTGCAGGCCTGGCCTGTCCGCGCAGGCCGGCACCTCGCCCCTGGCACCCTAGGGTGGGTTGGCAGCCTGACCTGGAGCTCCCCGCCCACCTCCCCACCGGGGCACCTCATAGTGGCTGGGGCTTGGGCACTGGCCCCAGCACTTTGAAGCCCAGAGACTCCCGAGGTGGCAGGGAGAGGACAGCGGGGGCAGAGGCTGAAAGGGGTGCAGGAGGGGACCAGCAGGGCCCAACGAGGGATGGAGGGCTTGGGGGGGGGCAGGGGAGGACCTTGAAGGTCCTGGTGGAGGTGGGTGGCTCCGCCCCAGCCCATAGTCACCCGACCTAGAGCCCTTCAGGTGTTTCCTGCCCAGCGCTCAGAACTCAGGCGGTGGGGGATGAGGTTGAGGGTGCCTGGGCCCCGTGCATGGAGCTGGGCCCTAAAGGCCCGTGAGTATCCCAAGCAGCCAGACCTCTCAGCCCCACTTCTAGAGATTCCGCACAGCAGTCTCTGGGGTGGGCGTGGCCTGGGCTGACCCGCTGGTCCCTGGCACTGCCCGGGCAGCTGGTCTTCAGGACCCTCCCCCCCGCTCCCAGCATCTCCACCAGCAGGCCCTGCCCACACCCACATTCCCTGCGGCCTGCCCCTCGCTGGCCAGGAGTGTGTCCTGCCAGGACGGAGGGTCGGGTTGCGGCTGCTTGACTGGGTGGTGAATGGCAGCGGGAGGCTTTGCCTGGGAGAACGGCCGTGATTTATTGCTGTTGCTGTGAGAACAAGTTTACGGCTCAGGGAGGCGTCTGGGAGCAGCACACAGGGAGGAGGTGCGCCGCTCTGATGTCAGGCAGGACTGCGCCGCCCACTTCTGCTGCTAGTCTGGTCCCCACACAGTGGCCCCTCAGCTGCGTCCAGGCTGTCGGCAGGGCAGACGGAGCACCCGGGGGACAACAGTGCATGGCCTGGGCCCGCCCAGTGCCGGGCCCTTCCCGTCTGAAGCCAGAGGCCACAGAAGACATGGGCGCTGGGCTGGTCGGAGCCGGACAGGTGGCCTCCGTGCGGGTGGGAGCCCCTAGAAGTCCAGAAGCTGTGGGGGGAGAGCGCTCAGCCTGCTGGGCGTCCGCCCACCCCCAGCCCTGGGCTGGCCCTGCTCCCGGGCCCACCTACCAGCTGCGGCAGCACCTTCTCCAGCTGTTCCACGTCCACAGTGGGCAGGTCCTCCGCCTGGGCCTGCCTGATGCTGCGGACGGTGGCCTCTGCGGGGACAGGAGGGAAGGGAGGCCCGGAGGCTGGAGCCTTGACCCCACCCCCTGGGCCTCGGCCCCAGCTGTGAGCCAGGGCCAAGTGTGGGCAAAGGGGAGACACGTCGTGCAGGCAGGACCAGGAGAACAGACTCACCCACGACAAATACCTTGAGCAGCTCGGCGAGGAGCAGCAGCGCGTCCCCGCTGACTGCAAGGTGGAGGGAGCAGGTCACCAGCGCGCCCTCTCCCATGCCCTGGCCAGGGCTGCTGCCCCCACCCCCCACCTCCTCCCAGGCCCCTCCCGCCCCAGGCTGGCGCCCACCTTTGGTCCTCTCGTCCTCGAAGTGCAGGTGCAGCAGCTTGCTCACCAGTTCCTGGGGGACCAACAGGACAGACTCTGGCCCCCCCACCGGAGACCACAGGCCCCCAGGCAGGCAGTTGTGGGTGGGAAGGTGTGATTTCGGTCCCCGGGCCTCGGAGGGTGGGGACTGGGTGGTGGGCAGGTGGGAGCAGCCCAGGTGCCAGCCGCCCGTCTGGGGCTCGTGTCCAGAATCCTGGGCAGCCTCCTGCTCCCCCACCCCGCCCCCACCCGGCCGGAGAACTTGCTCCCTGTGAGCCCCTTCACAGGTCTGCCCACCGGTGGGGCCCCAAGCTCAAGGGCAGGAACCCAGCACCAGGCAGCAGTGATCGGAGCCTGGTGCCACCTGCTGGCCCTGCTGCCACCAGGGCGGGCCCTGACCCCCAGGAAGAGCCGACCGCCCCCTGTGGACGGGCTGCGCAGGGAGCTTCCCCAACAAGAAAGGGGCAGGAACTGGAGGACAGGTGGGGCCTGGGGTGATGCGCTCGCCTCTGCCCGCGTCAGGCGAGCACCACAGCCGTCCCTCCTCCCTCCCTGTTAGGAGCACTGACCGCAGCCCCAGCTCCGCACGGAGCCCTTGGGGAGGCCCCAGGGCTTTCCAGGCG